GGTTACATGGAGAAACAACCCTAACATGTCTGCGACAAAGTAGAGGTCAGCGATGTAGTTGATGATCCAGAGCCAACTGGCGTTGTGGAGAAAGGCGGCCTGCGTGGAGACTGAGAGAACCGAGACGAGGGACATGACCACACCCACCACCTCCCACACCTGACTCAGCCTCGTGTTGGGGTTCAGAGTGTACCTACAATTAGAGAAACAACCCTGGGTGAAACATGGCATGTATTAATCCCTGCTGAATAGGACAGCAATTACTGAATAATCAGGGGGATTTCTTATTTTAGACAATTATTTTTGGACAAAAACCTTTATAATATATGTATGACAAAGCACTGAAGTGCAAACCCTCGGCGAACTGCATGTGCGCAGTACCGCTAATTGATGGGCTGGGCTATAGTGTACTCGTGCTCAATCCCGCCTGCTTCTAGTAGTAGCTCGGGGAGCGTCTGACACGGTGTTTCTATGCTACAGTTGTAGATTGCATGCGGGAGTCTGTGTCGATATACACGTTTGTGGACTTCTCGTGCTTCAAGATCACACAGAGCAAGCGGTACGCGCGCCGTCGAAGTAAGCCGGTTACTAATTAGCAAAGGGCGTTTTCGCTCAGGTTTCACACCATTAACTCTGCGAATGCGACTGCGGTGTCAGAGAAATCCTACATACAATTTTCAACCTTATCCGTCGATGTGAATACGTCCTAGCGTGGTCTTGAACTGCTTGTTTGTTGTTTGTTTTTGTGGAGCAATTGATGGCTCGAGAAGTGAAATGTAAGGTAACAGACAGACAGACACACACGACAGCTACAGTAACCCTACGCTGGCCGCATAAAGCAAAGCGCACGCGCCGAGTAACAGAACGAACAGACATGCATTGATGCATTTAGGGCTCAAGTGATGCTTACGAAAAGCTAGTTCAACAAAATCTAGACATCTCAAGCATTCCTGGTTGGAGCTTCGGTTTCTCTGTACATAAGCACAGTTCTCTAAGAATCACACCTAGACACATGTGAGAAACACCTCTCTAGTACTGACGCAGTCTCTTCCTCCGCAAGAATAGTCTTTGAACGTGATTCAACCCCTGAAAAATAAGGACACCTTCCTATAGTACCGACCGTATCTTCTGTCCCACTGGTGTCCGAATGGAGGGGTTCCACACAATCAATAGAGTTTCTTACGGGAGGAGTAAGTAAGAGAGAATGTTCCCCATGACTCCGACGTGAGTTCTCCTGTGCCTCTGCTCTCTCCCGGGCACCTCTCTGTCACCACTGACAGCAGTCCTGGCAGAGGTGGTAGTAGTTCTCGTGGAGGCCACCTCACTGGGGCTGGGTCCCACTGCCCCTGCCCTCCTCCTCTGTCTGAGACCGCGTCTACTCCTGTTGCCTTCCTCCCAGTCTCCCCCTGTCTCCGCATCACTCCTGCAGTGAGTTGAGTCACTTATAGATGGCAAACATCACTCCTGCAGTGAGTTGAGTCACTTATAGATGGCAAACATTACTCCTGCAGTGAGTTGAGTCACTTATAGATTGGCAAACATCACTCCTGCAGCGAGTTGTGGCTCTACCAGCCCTGTGTGTGACAACGCTCATCTCCCTGTGACTCTGGCTGAGTCTCAAATCTGATTATTTTCCATGTGCGTTCACTTTTATACGAATGACAAGGTGTGATTACATAATCAGTAATGAGCATATGTACATAGAGTACACGGGTGCTACACAAAATATGTATACAGCCAACACGAAAAAGATGCTGTGTGTGTGTATCCATGTGTTTCTTCTTTACACTAGTACACAATTAGTTGTCTACCAATGCCTGTTTTGTTGAACGAAATCATTGGCACTCAAACAAAACTGTCAGTAGCTTTGCGTACTGTGAGTTAAAAGATACACATGGGGTAATTACTGGTTTTCACATCAGGGCATTTTTGGTGAGAGAGTGCGGAAGTCGCATGAAGCATTAGAAAAGTTAAACTCCGTTAGAAATGCGTAAACATGGGTGACAGTGTATGTAAAGGAAATGAATGGAAGAACTCCATTCAGACGACTAACTTTGCCCACCAATAACAACCCCACCCACCTCAGGGCCTCCTGTATTTGCTTGCGGTTGAACTTGACAAGGTTCTCAGTCACAGGCCTCCCTACGGTACAGGGACATGCCACCTGACTCTGTATGTCCTTGCTCCCCACACACGCCGCTATGGTGTTGGCCATTGGAGCCCTGCAAACAAGTGTTGAGAGAGAGAGAGAGATTGTGTGTGATCCAAACTGCAATGTGATTGACCCTCCCTAAACATTTATTCAGAGCCAAGAAAATCGACAAAAGTTCACGCAAACTTGCTTGGTAATAGTTCAGGTGGTAAGTATCATTAGCTTTGCATTCCATTGTAGGCACGAGTTTGAAATGTGGGTTTGGTGTAGCTAGGGAGTGGTCAAATACAGTGTCAATATTAGACCCCAAGTCTTTGGTGAAGATTATAGGGTCCTCCTCACCTGATGGCCACGGAGAGAGAGGGGACCATGGCAGTGGCGAGAGCAGAAAGGACCGATGGTCGTGAGAACCTGCGAGGGTTGGTCATGGCCTGTCGACTGGCCTCCTGTGCCGCCTTGTGGGCCACCTCCACATGCTCCCGGTCCTGGTACAGCATCTCAAACTCTCTGAGAGAAAGAGAGATGACTTGCAACGATTAACCCTTTGGACACCATGGGTATCTCCTTAAATAAGCAGAAATTGATGTATAACATAATATTAACACCATGTATTATAGCCTATATAAATTCTTATGGACTCATGGAGTCTCTGGCCATTTTTTTAATGCCTGTGGCTGGTTAAGGGTTAAAGCCAACTGACAGCTTATGTAACTAGTATTTCCTGATAGAAAGAGAGGACCTGCAATTATCAACCAGAACCTTACCCAATTGGAAGCTTACTAGTTTTCAAACGACTAAGTTATGAAACATGCGTAAAAGATTAACTAGAGTGAGACTACCGACATGAAATTTGGGAGAGCAAAGTGAGTTCACCAATATTCATATTCGACCCACCGTACAATGCCGTAGTGTACATTCGTGAACCTAAAATACTGTGCAGATTATTCCCCACCTAAAAAATCTCAAGGACTAGTTCTAGAGCTTCCACTAGTCCTATATATACAAATGCTAGTTTGTTCTTACTTGGCGATGAGAGGGTACTGAGGAAGGAGATTCTGCAGAGCTTCGTTCTCCAACATGACCAGCTTACAGTTGGTGGCCGCACGAACTGTCAGAGTCCTCGGAGTACCAAATAGGAACCCCAGCTGTATAGGACGACACAAATCACATGACCACTTTTCAGATATCCTCTGGCACCACGAGTACTAAAGTTTAATTGCTACTACAGCTAAAACTACTACCGAACTATAGCACAAACTTTCTGATTTGCAACCAAAATGAACATAAATTCTCCAGAGTACAAGTCACACACACCACTTTCAATACAGACTGAGAACTATTATCCAATATTGTGCGTATTTTTCGCAACTCTTTCTAGCTGTACAATAGCAACTTTCGTGTGCTATTATGTATAGCCTCTCGACCACTAGCACATCATGTGCAGATGCAGATGGTATAGCAAAAATAAACTTAGGCATGGTGTGTGGGTCTATCAGTTGACTTTTTTGATTTGCCTTGCTACCTCACCTATCTGTATGTATCTATACTACCTCACCTCGTTGTTGAATAATGTATATACCTCTCCAAAAAATTTATCTATATAATTATACCTCTCCAAAGAATCCTCCGGGGCCTTGTACAGTAACCACCTGACTCAGATCCTCAGACAACACCTGTCAGCGATAGATATAATAATATACACAGTCAATGAAGACGGTCAAGCACAGCATCCTATATCTGTCAAAAAACTCCATTATGTCCAAGAAGATATTCCATTAGGTCGTGCACACACCAATCACTGTACCTCGACGTAGCCCTTAGAAATGAAGTACATCTCCCTCCCCATGTCTCTGCTGTAGAGGATGATATCCCCCGGGGCAAACAGGAATGTGGAGGTGGCACTGGAGAGCTGGCGGAGGAAGGACGCGTCCACGTACTGGAAGAACGGGACGCTGGAGAGAAGCCTTGCACACTCCTCCATGGAGACGTCTTGCCGCACCGTGACCGGCATGTCGTGCATCAGGTCCTGGCCCCCCGGTACCGTCTCTCCCCTGGTGGGGGGGGGGAGGGTTAAACCTCACACTCAGATCATCAATTACGTCGCAGTTGGTGTGCTGCAGTAAGCTTGGGTACTTAACACTTGGTGTCCATTGTATTGTCAGTCTACTTGTTGGGGGTATTGTGGGCATTTTGGCTAGCAAATGCAATAGATTGTGACCTATGTATGATGTTCACACATGTGCACTGCGAAGGGGCAGATACACATATCTTAAAAACATGCAGTAAGTACCCGTCACTTCTCTCTTTATCCACTTCCTTCTCCCTCTCACTCATTCTTTGGAAGCGGACTCAGAAAAAAACGAGATTCAACCCTGCAGGTAGTCTGCAGTGTACAGACTCGCGCACAAATCACCTGAACTGCTGCCAAAGTAGAGTGAAGTAGTGATCCACCCTCTGGAGGAGACCTTTCCCCAACTTGTTCTCAAACATGAACTGGTGGACCACCTCCATCTTCTCCTCAAACGATATCCTAGCGAACACACACAACATCAGTCACTTGTCTCCACAGTTTGAAGTACTCAACTACTGGATAATCAGTATAAGTGTGATAGTTCTACTAGCTAGGCCACAAACCTCACTGTAATTCAATGTTGAAAAGCCAGTGCAACAGCTGTTAAATTGGCAGTTTGAACCGTAATCAAAGAGTTTCCAGTTATGTACATGCAACCTAGGGTAGCCCGTTATTCCTTGAAAAAAGGGTGTAAAATTTTATTGCCTCTTTTACATGCATACTGTATGGATTACCTATAGTACTATAGGACTGAAGGGGTCCACACAATGAACAGACCTGAAGCTGGCGGCATTGGTGAGTGTGGCAGCTATGACTCCGAGACAGTAGCCGTAGAGCATGATACCAGTTAGCTGGACTACGAGGGCAAACACCATCTCCCTCTCGTCGTGAGCACTCACGTCACCATAGCCAACAGAGGTGAGAGTGGCCGAGGCCCAGTAGAGAGACAGGATGTAGTTTTGGACTGCCGTCGAGGATCTGTAGGGTATTCCGTGGGCCGCTGCCCAGCTGACTGGGGAGCATCTGAGAGGAAGAGTCGAGGGTGGGAGTAGAAAGTGAAAGTGAGAGGTTGTGGAAAGGGAGAGAGGGAGAAGGGAGAGGGTGAGACGGAAGATGGGAGGGTAAAAAGGTAGAGAGGAAGAAGGGAGAAGGTAGGAAGGTGAATGTGAGTGGTTGTGGAAAGGTAGAGAGGAAGAAGGGAGAAGGTAGGAAGGTGAATGTGAGTGGTTGTGGAAAGGTACAGAGGGGGGAAGGGGTGTGGGGAGGTAGACAGTGAAAGTGTGAGAGTGTAGGAAGCTGAGAATGGGGGAGAGAGAGGGAAGGCTGGAGAAGGAGAATGGAGAAGTCTTGCAGGGCCAGCTGATTTTCCAGAGGGAGAATACTGTACAAGCATTTCAAGCTGGAATGTTCAAACAAAGGACACATTCTCCCCAGAAAACTGGCTGGTCAAGTGGAGGTAAGAGAGGATGAGAGATGGTACAAAGGTGGTGGTAATTTCTGCGTAAGGAAAGACAGGGTGATTGAAGCAAAAGATCAACAAAGAAGTGATAGAGGGAGAAAAGAGAGCAAAGCAGAAAATTGTGGCACAGTGATTATGCATACTCCTCCTTGGCGTAGCAGGCAATGGGGAACCATATGCAGGCACTGAAGTGAGTGAAAGCCACAATGTAGAATGTGAACTTGAGGAACCTGGCATACACCACTGATATGTAGAGAGATCCCTCCATCTGGTTGAAGAACGATATCACCTAATAGGGAGAGAGCGTGTATGTCACAGTCAGGCAGGGGGACATTGATACTTGCTATACGGCATGCTGATGACTGCGGGTGTCTAGCTTGAAGAGTGCATGCATTCAACATGCTCCTATAGTTGCAACTAGTTGATCACTTATGCACTGTACATGCAACATCTGTGAAAACGTTAAATATACCTGGGGCCAAGCCCATAATATCAACGAGGGAGAGCAAGTGTAACACAGTCGTCCACAGTGTAAATATCTAATATCCCACCTTCCATATCTTGATGAGTCTGTTGAGTCTGAGGATGGCGATATAGCCGTATCTCTCCTGAGAGTCCCAGGCAAGACCAAATACCTCCAGAGGGAGCACCGCTGCCACGTCCAGCAAGAAGTATGGAGACAGTAGGTAGTGCATCAGTATCACCCTCGACTTAGTCAGGATACCTGCAGTTGAAATTGTAGACCTAGCGGTGAAATGGTTTATGTGCCATGAAAATGTGTATTTATGGACAGTGCAACTTCAAGTTTCTGTTCTTGCAAAACAGATCACTTGTGCATATGTAGCACCCGTACTCTGCTTATTAATTACTCATTAAGTAATCACACATTGTCATTTGTATAAAAAGTGTATGAACGTGGAAATAATCAGATTTGAGAGACTCAGCCAGAGTCACAGTATTGACAAAGAGATGAGCATTGTCACACCAATCCAGAGAAACACAAGCATGATAACAAGTTTCTGCCCTAATGCAGTGGCTTACCAGTGGGTGTCCTGACAGCAGTCTTCATGGAAATAACTATATCCAGGACCAACACCAGGTCCAGGAGGTAGGTGATTCCAAACAGAGCCCACCCGCCAGGTCCCGAGCCACCGTACGAGACGTCATGGTGGAAGAGAGAGAAGCCGGCCTGGTAGGTGTAGACCAGGCATATGAGGATGATGGCTGTGGCCAGGACCACGTCCCAAGCCACGCAGAACTTTGTACCAGGGAGCACAGGGTGAGTCTCCCACCACTGCCAGACTCTGAGGATCGGCCATATCAGTTCAGAGGAGAGAGGGAAATCTTTACATTTACCCCATTTTCCAATAAACCACATGAAAGATCATACAATTAATACACAAAAACTCTGGCATGCCAAGGGCAACTCCGACTATCCAAGTAGTAATATATCTTGGACTAACCCATTAATACCAAGACTGATTGCTGTTACCCCCATTGCAAAACCTAACATTAAAAGGTTGAAACTTAGGGCAGTAAGACTGATATATTGGTTGTCTGTAAAGCAGCTTTTTGTAATAAAAAAAAACTGTGTCTTATATATACATTTTCGTAGTCTTAAAATCTCATGTCTAACAATGGAGGAATTGCAAGGTCAGTAGTATAAAACCTTTGTGAGAAGGTGAGTGGTGTTGATGTAGAGCTGGGTTGGTGTGTCAGTTTTTCCCCCCTCCTCCCCATCCGGTTCTTGGTTACTATAAGCAGAGAATGCCTCGTCGCACCGCCTCTGTATCTCACTCTTCATCTTAGTCGACACTGTGGACACCAAGATCAAAATTGGTACACTGATGTACCACATGACAAGTGTTCATCTCAACAAGATTGTATATACACAGCAACAAACAGCCTCAGTCAGTGAGCAGTAGTAGTATGTAGTTGTTGCTTGGTATATAGCTAGTTTTCAGGTATACAGTCAGATTTTGGAGAGTATATAGCAATAGGCAAAGGGGGCATCCAATAAACACACCTCTTCCCAAAAGAACAGTTCTTGCATGCAATGAATAAAATGAACACTTTCTTCTGTCCAACTGGCGTCCGGATTGGGTGCACGTGCCACCTCCATAACGAATCCCTCGAGCATGGTGTGTTAGTGTGTGTTGTGTTAGCATTAGTAGTCCTCACTCTCGGGGAAGTGCTGGGTGATATCAATAATGTTCTTCTTGGAGAGAAGAAGGAGGTCGCAGTGGGTCTTGGCTCTCACTGTGCCTCCACATGGAACATCATGGACCAGGTTCACCTGCACACGTACAGTGGAGGTCTGAAATATAATGCAAGGGATATCCTCTTTGTCACCTCTCCAAAGAGACTGCCTTCTTTCATGACTGCAACCACTTCACTCATCTCCAGAAACAACCTGCAGTAGTACGCAGTACATACAGTAGCATCAGTGCCTCAGACTGTCTCAAGAATTAAGGCAAACACCTCAGGCCATTGCTCTCTGCAGACCCAGCAATATTCGCTAGTGAACACACAACATTTTAGAATTACGTGAAGCTTGACAGTGCAAATCACACGATTACTCACCACCTTATGTGACTAACGACCTTCTTTAATAGTGTAAGCACTCACCTCACTTTTTCACACTTTCTTTAATGTAAGCATTCACCTCACTTTTCACAATGACTTTCTTTAACAGTGTAAGCATTAACCTCGGCCTCTCCTCGAGTGATGATGAACATGTGTTGGCTAATGTCTCCCTTGTTGATGATGATCTGAGACGGGAGGTAGAGCTGCTGCTCGGCCACCAGTGACAGCATCCTCATGAACTCCTCTGGGGCATCTCGAAACAGAGTAGACTGCAAACATAGATTGATTCACAGCATAATAGTGACTCTTTCCTGAAATTGTGGCAAACGTGAAAGTTTTTCACAATACATTTGCGCCACATACACTGCCTGATGCCAGTGTTGCATTATAGGACATGCAATTATTATTATAAACACCCTTCAATGAATGTGCTGTAAAAAGAAGCACAGTTCCACAGGAAAGCAAACACGTATCAATGTGCAGTAAAAGAAGCCTGAGAGAGAGTTCATTGGAAAAAAGCTCTATTTCCCTTCAACAGAACTGTGTTCATCTCACTTTTTCAATGACTCTCTTGTATGTTTCGAGGGAGAGCTCAGCCTGGAAGGCAACTGGTAGCTCCTGGAACAGATCCACCCCAGGATTCCCTCTGTTTCTCTGCCACTGATGATGAGGCAAACAAACAAATCTTTCACTATACACTATAATAGCCAGCAACGTAACTGAAGGCCGTGATATATACACAATGTACAGCTTTGTTGTGTGGTCTATGATACCCATACATTAGAAGTTGCATGGAACTTGGTCTCATGCAACAAAGTTGCACCGTGTATCACGGCCCTAATATACTCACAATGTATTCATAGAAGTTGATCACCTTCTTCTTCACTGTACTGGACACACCAGCCTCTTCCTGCAGGAAGGTAAGTATCCTTACTCAAAGCGAGGCTGAAAAAAACATTTTGCAGAATAGTGTGCTCTGAGCGAAAACTTTATTGCAATCTTATAAGACTCTATCACTGCACTTGAAATGAAGTTTCTTTACTTCTATCCCAGTAGTTTTCTTCCCCATAGCGGAGTTCATGCTCACCAAGTGGTCTCTGATGACATTGAGTCTGTGGATGTAGCGGGACCGCTGAGCGTCGGACGTTGTGAGCGTGGAGGCGAGTCCTCCCAGTATGTAGCCAAACAGCACCACTCCCCACAGCATGGACACCACCGACACCCACTTCTCCGCCGACAACAGTGGTATAATGTCTCCGTAACTACGTTAAAACAAACCAAAGGCACGAAAATTCAACGTCAGCCATTTTTGTAGATGATTTTACTGTCCTTAGATTTTCGTTGCCTACTTGTTTAACTCGCCACGGACATATAAATATCTCCAGATCCTCCATAAACCCATAAAAAATATGGGGTTATAATACTAGGCACTAATATGTTATACATCAATTTCTGCTTATTTAAGGAGACACCTATGGTGTCCAAAGGTATAATGCGTTGAATATGCCTACACCAAGACTGAAAGTCATTCATAATTCCATCCATACAGGCATATTCTTGTGTCATTTTCATGACGTGGCATCCCTACATCCCCTTTCATCATTTCAGAGAAATTATCTTCTTGACCATGAAATACTGTAACACTGCCATATTGTATAGATGGAAACTGGCATATATTATACCCGACAGTAGTGATGGTAGTGACAGCCCAGTAGAGGGACTCCAAGTACCTCCTGTACACTCCTGAGTCCTGCCACTGAGTATCTGGGCGAAATATTCAGATGTCTACTCACAACTTGCATCTGTCTATTATTATGCTCGTTTCCAGGCCTTCCCGCTTGCATTGCGTGGCGTAATCGTTGTACATGCGCGCCTGAGCAAAGCCTTGTGGGGATGAATCTCATTAGTTCAAAACCACAAGTGCTGCGCTCAACTTTGCCTTTATAAACTCGTGATGCCAGAGAGAGAAGTTGCGTATGCTTTGCTGATGAGGGCTAACAAGCCCGAAACAGCTGTCCAGAGCTCAGCATCTTTTTCTCTTTGCATCACATGGTCTATTGTTACATGCGGGACAGTTAGAAGGGGAAAAGGGCTATTACGTGTCCGGCATGCTCGAGCGCTCCACAATCACACCTCGTAAATAGAAGTGGGAAGGCCTGGAAACGGGGCTAGACGAAAGCCACACTGCGTTCAAAATCAGAAGTTATCAATGTTTAGGTGTTTTCAACTCAGTGAAGAACAAGTGTGCACTTACAGGACTGTCCCCATGAGTTTTCTTTACACAGAGAGCTGGTGAGATCGGCACTGAAGAGCACCTGGTTCTTGCAGGAGACGGCGAACCAGCAGCAGGTCATGATGTGGATGCTCAACCCAGCCAGGAAAGTGGACTTGAGAGTGGTGAGGAGGTTGGTGTTTGTTCCCAGCTGTTTCTCCTTCATGGCTGTCGGCATTTGTTATGCGCCATTATTGAACCAAGCTAGCAGGTACCAGTTGCTACTGAACCAAGCTAACTGCTTTGTATGATGGCTGGCTACTGCTAGCAGCCACGTATATAGTTGCACCAATTTTGTGTGGCATATATATTATATAATTATAGAGTAGCTCATCAAAGATCGGACACCATGTATATTCGGACAGGCCTCCAGAGCGTACGATAAAATATCATTCAGTTATTCTACATCTAAGATGTAGTGTTGCAAATGACAATCCTTCGTGTATACTAAGTTTGGATCATTGTTGCCGAGTTATGCCGTCGAAAAGAAGCTTTCTGGAATATAACAACATCCAGTAAAAGCGGAATTTATATAGCGCTATAATACAGTATTAGCGCACTGTACTGTAGTATAGACCCATATATTATTCTTACAGACTTATGGACGCTCTGGGCATATTTATGTGCCCGTGGCTGGCTAAGGGTTAAACTTTTACGCCCATAGCTTCCAAAGTAAGGAGGGAGTCCAAACACGGGGTCAGTTTGATGCGTATGTGCAGCTGGACGTGAGATCGCCGAAGCAGCTGCAATACTACACAAGCGGAAATACTATAGGTGAAGGTGACTCCTCTTAGTGCAGGTTGGAGGGCTTGAACTCCGCTTTTACTGGATGTTGTTATTATTATTCCAGAAAGCTTCGTGATGAAGGGAGATTTGCAGGGCGTCCGTCGGTATATGAAAACATCCGATGTTACGTAATATCGGCAGTTGACCGAGGGCATAACTCGGCAACAAAAGCACATCAATCCTCCAAACTTGGAACGAAGGATTATCATTCGCAACACTACATCCTAGATATAGAATAACTAAATGATTAATTTTATCGTAGGCTCAGGAGGCCTGTCCGATTATACATGGTGTCCGACCTTTGATGAGCTACCCTACGCCTTGAATCATGCAGCCCTCGAGACCTCTTTAATTACGAGAAAGGATATTGTTTCCCCCACTCACTGATAAAAGCCCAGGTGTGGTAGCAGCGTATGACACGGGTGAGTCTCAGGAACGCAGCCAGCTCCAGCGTCTCTTCCCGCCTCCCAGTGGCTGCAAACGCAAACAGTTCTAGTGGAACGACGGACGCGACGTCAACGGAGAGCTTCAGGTAGTGCATCACGGCCGACTTTCGCGTTCGGTCCGTGCCGACTACTCTTCCCTTCCGGAAAAAGTCGGTTAGGAGACGGACTAGAATCGCAGCCACGTACAGCCCGTCGCAGAGGTAGATGAGCACCCACTGCCAAATGATTCCCGCATCGAAAGCTGCCTGGAAGATCAGCAAAACCACGGAGATAACGACCGACACGGCGACCAACCCCTCCCATAACTTTAGCAGCACGGACGGCTCGAAGAAGGAGCGAAGACGCCCGAGTACTCGTCGGTTCTCGGTCGACACGCTCTGGCTCTGGCGACGACTCCCAGGCGGCGCCATTCCGCCCGAAGAGTTTGCAGATTCACAAATGAAAAATGCTTGCTATAACCGCCGCTTCTCTGTTTGGCAAAAACACTCCACTCGATCCTGCAAAACGAAAGAACAGCTGTTCTTCTCTTTTGCAGTTTCCCGCGCTACGGCACGCATGCGCAGAATCCCATGCACCTGTGGTGTGGTACAGCATTTGGTCACTCTTGTGTGCATTATGGACCTGGTAAAACTTTAGCTATACATTCTCCCCAGACATCATGATCAGCACCTTCAAGTTCTGGATTTCACGGTCACATAATTATAATCATGATATATACATTGGTTGGTTCTGATGGGTTGAACAGTGACATGATACTGAACTTTTAATCGTAAACGGAGCGCCAAAGAGTTATAATCAAAATATGGTAACCAAAGACTCTAGATGAAAATATAATCTGCTGGGGCTACAAGGGGCACATACACACATAGTACAAACAATAACTAGAGTGAGCATGTAGATGCTGCACGAGGCTATGTGTTAATGTTGTCGAAAGTCAACTGCCGTCGTCCGGACTGGAGAAACAGACGTGCCCTATGAGTCAGCTGAATCTGATCGTCCGTCTGACCACAAGCGTACTTGGTCCACCCTACCGGGAGCTGTGGACACAAAAGAGAAAGATAAGGGTTAACAAATGTGGCACTTGCACGTGGATACGCTCCAGAGTACAAAATTACTGACGGCCAACGGCCAATTTCCGAGCGATTTATACGATTGGCCGCACGAAGTTAAGAACGGCCGGTCATTGCGTCCGTGCAGCTCTCTAGCTCTATCGCGTACTGCGCATGCGCATTTAAAAGAGCCAGGTGATGTGTACTGGTATCGCTAACGGGCCTCCTCGTAGCCTGTAGTGCCAGAACAAGCGTCGACACACACACAGACGTATATACAGACAGACAGAACGACTACTGTAACCCTCGCTGCGCATGCGCGCCGAGGGTTAACATGTCCAAGCAAATATCAGCAGTGTCCAAACAATATTTGCTTTGTTTGGACATGATGTCCAAACAAATTATAAACCTTATTAACCCTCGGCGCGCATGCGCAGCGAGGGTTACGGTATTTGGGTCTGTCTGTCTGTCTGTGTGTCTGTCTGTTACTCGTCATCTCACTTCTCGAGTGTTCGTTCGTCTCACAAAGGATACCACCTACTGAACGGGCAATGAAGGTCAGAATATATGTGGGGTTTTCTCTGAAACTGCTCCGTTGCAGAGCTAGAGCGCGAAAAAGCCAATATGCAAATAGGCAACGGACGGGATGGCTTACCACTGTCTGATCGATCCGCGTGCTCTGCGTACCTCAGAGGCACCAGAAGATGCAACGCAGGGCGTGTATCGCCTCTCGCATGCTATCTAGTAGTGTAGTTAGCCCACGTCAGACTCTGCGCGAGCTGGCAAGAGACCACGAGTAACAGCTAAAACTAAACCCAGCCTATCAATTAGTGGTACATTTACTTACGCGTGCGCGTCACAATGCGCCGAGGGTTGCACTTCAGTGCTTTTCATTTTTAACTGCGCTCAATCTTCTCTGACTCTGGCTGAGTCTCAAATCTATCTACCCACATACACTAATGAAAATTACAATTATGTAAGATTATGTAGTGAGTAATGATCGAGTAAGCAGTCTACATAGAGTACAGGTGCTTCAAATGCAAGGTTTGCAAGGTGGTAGAGAGAGGACCGTGAGATCAGGGAAGAAAAGCTAACCTTCGGATTGTGAGATGGTGTTTCTGACAGAGATCGATTTATTGCCTCAGTAAGCCGCAGCCTCTATTACACAGAGAGAAAAGATGTAATGCAACACATAATTATGCAAATCTCAATGTAGCAACCCCACCTTTCCCTCCGGCCTGTTCTGTTCAAATATGAACCACGGTGGGACACTCTGTATCTGCCCCGTCCTCTGTATCTGCGTCGACAGCGGTGAGCTGCCCCATCTCTGGACTGACTGCTGCTGAGCCACACCAGCAGCTGGACCAGGAGGATAACCTCCGTACGCATGATGTGGCGTGCTGCTGTAGTAGAATGGATTTGGAGGAGGGCGGAAGAGGGCACCTGCCGTGCTGGCTACGGCAGTCAGAGGAGGAGCAATAAAGTACGGAGCGTTGGGAGGGGAGAGAGGAGAGACAGGTACAGAGAAGAGAGGAGCGCAGGTAGTGACGGCCGAGGGTATTACATGTCCCATGTAGAGATTGGGTTGAGGATGACGGGGAGGGTGGTGGGGGAGGTACTGTGCAGACGCCACTGCTGCCGAGAATGGGAACGGGACGTGAGTTGGATGCTGGGTTTGTAGATATGGGAACGAGACCGGGGGAGGAGGTTGGGAGGTCATGGGAGTCACGATCTGGTGGTAAGGACCTGCGGTAGTGGAGCCTTTGACTGAGGAGCTGTGCGGGAGTGGGGCAGTAGGGAGAGAGGGCCCTACGGAGGCTGAACCAGCGAGGAAGAGATGGGGAAGTTGGCGGTGAGGAGAGAACTGGGCGGACGGTGAGTCTGGTCGGTCTTTGCAATCGGGCTGCATGCGTTCTCCAGCAGAGGGCTCAGCTGGGCACGGGCCCTGCTGCGGTGACGAACTGCCTGCGACCGCGATCTGGACTTTGTCACAACCACCGGGGGCGCTTCCGAGTCACTCCCACTGGATGTCTGTCAAAATTTAAAAAACACGTGTTATGAACAAAGAAAAAGACAAAAAAACATGTTTTGAACAAAGAAAGAGAATGAATTTTGTGCACACCTCATAGGGATTCACGTCTTTCAGACGTGGTCTCTTGACCTCAGTCTCGCCGGGAGAGAGGTAGGTGGGCGATATTTGGAGTCCAGAGGACTGCGTGTTCTCCTTGTCTTGTTTGATGGGAGTAGATGTTACAAACCTCGACACCTGCAAGGAAACAAATCACAGCGGGTGGATGAGTGGTGTCAGAAAACTCTCTCCCACCCTAACCCCCTCTCCTTCCCAGTCTTAGCTAGACTTATAGTGCATGTCATACTACTGTAACATCTCTAGCTGTACTCACAACAACGGATCTAATTGCTTGGGCAGACGGTGCCTGACACATAAAACAAATCTCAAGAGAGCTTGACTGATCAGGTTGTTCATACTCAGTCTTCTTACTCTCACTCAGTACATTATGTGCATGGGTTCAATAGGCAATAACTGGGTTAGGTAAGGGTCCAGAGGCACATGCACAGTACACAAGTGTTAGCTTCATGCACAAAGACATACACATTCTTCGCCGTCTAAACAAAACGCTCAACATCAGTGGACCAGACTCTTTATCATAGCTATATACGCGAGACTACCTCCCTCCCTCCCTCACATGGTTCCCAGAGGACGAGCTCCCTCCTGCCACCATACTCTCAGTGTAGTCTGACTCTGAATCGTGCCGACCTCTACTAGCACCTCGTCCATCGACAGGGTCCGCGTGTCCCTCTGTGGACGAACCGCTCACGGTTCTCTTTCTGTAGGAGGTACTGGAGTTGGCCGGCTGACTCAGGAAGATGGACGGGGAGAAGGAAAGGTTCGAGTCGCGTGGAGATTTCTGGGCCGAGGTCGGAGAGAGGTAGCCTTCTTCCTGAGGGGCAGGATCGTTAGACGATGGAGGTTGGTGCGTGCTGGGAGCAGCTTTTGCTGCCGTGTGTTCTCCCGAAGTTCGGCTTTGTGGGAATGAGTCCGCCTAAATGGAGATTTTCAGTGTAACTTGAGACTACCACAGAATAATGTAACAGTGCATCGCATAGAAGAACTAAACAATTAGGGCCCAGTACAAGTTTCCCTATACTGGCGAGAGAGAAGAGGGTTATATCATACCAGCTGTCTGGGTCTCTTGCGGTCTCTCTTCAATATGGACGGCGTCCGTCCCTTCCCTCTGCCAGTGGTGGTACGATAGGAGGGGGAGGGAGGGTGGGGAGGAGGAGGGGTGGAGCGACGCACGTCCTCTCCACCCAGTGTCGTCTCAACTGTGTCTGCAACAGAGAAGAGCAGTCCGGAAGTCAACCACATTGAAATGAATCACAGGGTTAAAGGTGCAATTCATGGAAAACCTGTTTCAAGAGCTGCCCTAGGTGGGAGTTTCGGTAGAGCGCTCTACCTCAGCGGTCAAAACACAACATTAGGAACTGTCGTATGTAAGCTACACACACATCCATAGTAGGTTATGTAGTGTACATTACACCAAACGAAGGATAAAACTCATTCATACCAGCAGATGATTCAAGTCTCATTCTTGCCATGCCACCGCCGACTGACAGAGCACTGTTTGTCCCTGGAACCTTTCCCGGCCTCCCTCCCTCCCTACTCTCCTCCCCACACGACATCTCACTGTGGTACACTGCCACGGTACTCAACATCCCAAGAGAGTCGTCGCAGGCGAACCCCTCCCCTCTCCCTCCACCTGCTCCCTCCTCCTCTGACTCTCTCTCGGAGGTCATGTCGAGGTCAAGTCGACCGTGACTTCTCCCACTGGCTGCAGACGAGGGACTCGGTGAGAGCGGGAGGAGGAGACCGATGTTGAACGGAGAAAGACTCACGCTCTGGTTAAGAGGACCAACCTGCAGGGACGGAGGGACAGGGAGAGGGAGGGAGTGAGGGGGGAGAACGTGGAGCAAGACACAATACCAAAAGAAAACCTACTTTCTCAACTGCTGTACTTCGATCATCCTTGGGCTGCATGCTGCAGTTTTCTTCCTTACATGATAACCTGCTAAACTGCCTATGTCAGTGGGTTATGTGGGTTTCAATCTCACCCAGGTCAACTCTTTTAAAAATGAATTGTCCTGGGTGTAGTTGTTTTGCCTTTGCCAGTGACCTCATTGCTGTTTTACATGTCATCACAATAGCCCATACCCAGTGAGAGTTGGGGGTGGTGGCAGAGGGGGTGAGGTGGGAGGAGGAGGAGGAAGAGGAAGGATGGGGTGAGGGGTAGAGTCGAGAGGTGAACCGAGATGGAGTCGACAGTGGGACACTCATCCCTGCAAGACAACAAACAACCACACTCCACACACAAAATCACAGTTTAACCAAGCTGTGTATGAATTTCCCACCGCACACTTGAAATACACTTGTTTTGTCCCAGCGAAACACCAAACAATCACTCCCACGAGACACAAATTCGTTTTGCCGGCTCAGAATCTTCCAGCACACTCGAAAAGCTGCTTTCTAGTGACTTATAAAAGAAGTGATCACGTTTTCCCCAGACACACAGGTATTCTCAAAAGACACTTATTGTGCCCAGTAAAACGGCAAAGGCTACACAATCCTCAGAGCAGGTTCTGCCACACCACCCCCAAAGGTATACAGACAGAGATGCAACACACCAGATTTCTGCACGTGGTGAGGCGTTCCATCCAGTACCACCGCACTGGGAGAACTGACAACGGCTCCAGACGAACTCCTGTGCTCGTAGCCGGCGCCCCCTCTCTTCTTCCTGGACGAGGAGCCTCCCGTGTTGTCAGAGAGGATGGCAGAGATGGAGAAATCACCGCTCTTTCTCTCGCCACCGGGGCTGACACTGTTGTCACTGTCTGCAGAGCTGCCGTCTGCTTGGTCACCATTTCCAGACATTGCCACTTTGATTTACTGCACTACTTCCTCTTGCTAACACCTGTAACGGATGTGTAAAACACTTGTACCCACGTACACACACAACAAAGAGAGAGAGAGTACGCTTAGAGAGGCGACCCAGCCTGACTGCGTACGCTTCCAGCGTCTAGATGTACCGAAAGCTTCCCCTGGATCTGACACATATCACTCCGTCTTCACCACTCTTTACTACGACCTCCGACCATGTGCTTTCAAGATTATCATAGCTCTGGGATCCGCATGTAAACTAGTACAAGCCGAGGAGCCGGGAAGCGCTCTAGGGGACTCATGTGCTCACGGACGGGTCTCATGCAGTATGTACTCACTCGGTTTATCCTATCCTACCTCTTTTCTCCGTTGTATCCTCCCGGAGCCGTCGCTGAAAAGGCCGTCGGCTCTCTCTCCGATGTTGGTAAGCAAAATATTCCCGCCAAAACCCAGGTAACCTCACGTGACCCTACAAGCCCCGCCCTGAAAAGCCCGCGAATAAATCGCGCGCGCGGTAAAATTGTAAAAATGGACACGTTTATACACACACAAACAAAAGAGTTTGGTATCTTGAATTTTTACATCCATCTTGTCATCCACTCAAACCTCTAAAGAGAGAGAGAGAAACATACATCTTATGAAAACAGACACAACAACAGTATAATTTATATACCCGTGCTAATAGAGCTCCCAGAACGGCGAGGAGACAGAGGAGAAACAGACGACCCAGCCACGGACTGCGCTTCCTGGGCGGTGCCAGCAACCACTTCACTCGCTTCAGCTGTGTCTTGGTGTATGGTGGAACACGCAGCATCCTGGACAGAGACACATAAACACAATACTGTGGAACGACTGACGTGTTGTGGAACACGCAGCATCCTGGACAGAGACACATAAACACAATACTACAATGTGGAACGACTGACGTGTTGTGAAAGTCACGGGCAATAATATTATCTCAGGTCCATAACTCGGTTTCAGTTATTTAACAAACTATATAGTGTAAAACATTTTCATGTGCTTGTGTAAGTGTGTGCATATTTGTTATGTGATCACAGATTAGCCACGCAAATTTGAGCCCATCCCAAATTCTCTACTGGAAAGAGAGGTAACAATATATACCTCCCTTTCCAGTAGAGAATTTTATTATTGTTACCTCTCTTTTCAGTAACAAGTGCCAAAAACTTAACCCTGGAAAACTAACAAACGCCATCTTTCGGGAGAACTCGCAGATCTCTCCATCAACAGTTACTGGTCTACCATGAGTATTATAGAGAGAGGTCCTTACTGGTTGAGAGCCTCTAGTCCAGTGCTGGTCTGCACGACTGGCTTGATGTGACTGAACGTCTCAAACGAGTGCTGGAAATGGTAGACACCCATCCCACTGTGGCCCACTCCTCCAAACGGCAGAGAAATTACTGCACGGAACACATACACAAGAGGTGTGGGGGTAGAGAGAATCACATGGGGAGAATAATTATTAATCAGAGGCAGACAGGGAGAATCAAAGATAGATTGATACGGAGAATATTGACGGGAAGAAATCATAGGCAGACAAGGTAAAGGAAGAATCAAAGGAAGAAAATTTACAGGTAGAATATTAGAATGAGAGGCAGATACATGTAGGTAATAGGAGAATAAAAGATAGGATATACTGTATAGGAAGTATCAACGACAGATAGGGGATAGACTAATATTGAATGGAGGAAGAATCACAAAGATGTAGGAAGAGTCAAAGAACATCATGCAGATGAGCCAACCGGATGCGTGCATGATGACATCATTGTGAACCACTCCCCCAGCACTAGTGAGCTGATTAATCCTCTTGAACGTCGCCCCATTCGCCGTAAACACATAAAAAGACAGCGGCTTCTCTCTGTACACAAAGTAGGGATAACAACTCAACTACATATAGTCAAAAAAACACCCCTTAACTGAGAAACCTCTTAAAGAAAGAACACCAGTTCTCTTGTTAAAGCATGCGAGTCACAACACTAAACAAAAGATAAAAACAAAACATAAAACCACACTAGCGAAACGAGGAGAAAAACAGAAGCAAAAATAAAAGCACAACCAACAACCAAACAACAGCACAAACAACCACCGACCAAAATACAACAACAGACACATCTACAAAAACAACGAGAATAAACCACCACACCCACCACGCAAGACTACCCAACAGCACCGCAAACCCTAACACCCAGCTCAACACCCACACCACCACGACCCAACCCCAAGATAGAACATAACAAAAAACAAACTCCACCCAAGCAAGGACACAACATCCCACAAGCAAACAATTCGCAACAGATGACCAATGAAACAAACAAAAAAGAACATCACCCCAAAAACTGAACAACAAAAAGATAAAACTAGAAAAACGAGAACATGTAACATCTCTACAAAAGATGAAACACACACAAAGATAGAAAAAAGCAACATAAAAAGCAACTCATTACAATAGGTCACACCCCTTAACTGAGAGAAACTTCATAGATCAGCAACACACAAACCCCACACCATCTCACAGCATGCGAGCACAAAAAAGCAACACGCACACAACTGACCCGCGCGCCGCTCAAATAAGGACACCTCACTAAATTATTTTTTGTCCCATTGGTGTCCTGATTTGATGCATCCCACTGCCTAAGAGAAGTCTCTGCGAACAGAGTAAGTAAAACACTCAACATAGTATAACCCCTCTCACGACACCCCTGAAAATATGCTGAGAACACCTCTCTAATAGAACACATTTCTCTACAAAAGAACAGTTGCTGCATGCAGTAATAAAGAGACATTTTTTGTCCCATTGGTGTCCTGATTTGATGAGTCCCACTGCCTAAGAGAAGTCTCTGCGAACAGAGTAAGTAAAAACACTCAACCATAGTATAACCCCTCTCAACGACACCCCTGAAAATATGCTGAGAACACCTCTCTAATATGAACACCATTTCTCTACAAAAGAACAGTTGCTGCATGCAGTAATAAAGAGACTTTATTTTCTGTCACATTGGTGGCCTGATCAGCCACCATAGAAAAAAAACTCCAAGAGGAGTCTCACAGTTTGTTGACGAATGCGATGGCGTCATCCACACTGTCCACGGAGATGACGGGCAAGACAGGTCCAAATATCTCCTCCTCCATGAGAGAGTCCTCAGCCGTCACCCCGGCAACGACCGTGGGGGCAATGTAGCGCTGGGAGACTTCGCTCTCTCCTCCCATCACCACCCGCCCCCTGCTCCTGCTCAGGAGACCCATCACACGCCTGCACAATACACATAAACAGGGAGGGAGTAATCTCTGGTGCCGATTAGGTACTTTGTTGCGAGCCCACAAGACCAAACAACTGTTTAGAAATAGTTACATACTGCAAAATTACTCAATTAGCACAGCGGAAGTATGCATATTTATTTCACACACACCATGAATTACACAGAAGATAGCACTTGTATATATATGATGCAGTGCCCAGACAGGACAGCATGAGCCCTGTAAGGGTGAATGCTGTCCTGTCTGGGTACTGCAACAGATTTGTTGGATATCCCTGACATGTATGAACCCTGCTTGCACATGTAGGATTGTATAGGCTGATAAAATCCCCCAGTACTTAGCTTCATACATGTCTGTTGCCTAGTAGGGATATCCTAACACTTGTTGGATATCCCTACATGTATGAAGCTACATACTGGGGAGTTTTATGAGCATATACTATCCTGCGCGATGTAAGTTGGGTTCATACATGTCGGTTGTTAGGGATATCCAACGCAACATATACTTATTACTGTAATACTAACAGTGCAATAGGGCAGGAACATGAGGGTGAGCTAGTCGTACTAGTGCACAAACATACGTATGTAGGTGTAAGGGAGGCCCTGTAGCCACCGCAAACACGCAAATACTTGCGACAGCATGTTATAGCTACGGACAGAACCCCCTATAGAAGGTGTGGCAAGTATTAGGACGAGAAACAGCGGGTATAGGGTGAAATATGGAATTTTCACACTGCCAGTGTATGGAAGCAGTAAGTGAAGCATCGCCATCGCAGTACTCGTTGGTTTTGGATGATTTTTGTTCTAGGATCTCGGAGTTTTACAGCTGCGCCAGCACCCGGCCACACCCTTAGTTCCTACGCCACTGCTATGTAAAACAAGGGGAAGAAACATTAATGCTTGAGGCTTGAGTATACATTAGAGGCCACTGTGTCACTACACATCTGGATTCACTTAACACTTAACCAGCCACGGACACATGAATGTGTCCAGAGCCTCCATAAGTCCATAAGAATTTATTGGGGTTTATAATACTAGGCGCTAACATCAATTTCTGCTTATTTAAGCAGATACCCATGGCATCCAAGAAACGTCTTACTGGAAGTGTCTGTCGTTTATGATCCTCCCATAGTCGCTGGATAGCTTGGGGTCCTCCCCGTAGTACTTTGTGGCGGCCTGCTTGCAGTACTCGACGAATTGGTCCACTTTCCCCGGCGGACACAGGACGTAATCCGGGGCAATGCAGGTCTGCCCCGCATTGAGGCACTTGCCCCACATGATTCGCTGGGCGGCCACTTTGAGGTCTGCATCATCGGCAATGATAGCCGGACTGGATAAAACCACAAATGACGGGTGGTGGTTAAGGGATCGTTCTTCGTTGTTAGCTCACCTTTTTCCGCCCAGCTCTAGAGTGACCGGCGTGAGATTTCTTGCTGCATGCTCCATCACAATTTTCCCAACCTGTGACGATGGGACACACTCTCTATTATACACAGACACTTCAACTATAGTTTGAAACCGGTATGAAATTAAGTCGTGTTAAGTAAACCGGGTTGGATTTGTCTGTGCCAAGGGCACTTACCACTGCATCTCTGTCCTCGACTATTACAAGCCTTCAGTAGTCTCGCTCCCAGACCCTCACATGCTCCCGTGCGAAAGAGGGTCTGGTATACCAATGTCAAGATTTCTTGGTTGTGCTGAATCAGCATGTGTATGTAAATTGCGTAATTCAACCTGTCAGTCATGTGATTACCTGCCCAAGTGCTCCCATTCTGTTGCGATGTGCATGCGCAGAACTGCTCGGCATTGCAGATCGCCTCCAAGTCACATGATAGAAATCCGGCAATCTGATTGGGTTGTCCGTTTTCCGCAGCACAACCAAGAAATCAGACGTTGTATACCAGACCCTCTTTCGCGCGGGAGCACGTGAGGGTCTGGGGCACGAGACTAGCCTTCAGTTGATCCGAGGGGTGGGGGCATAATAATGAAGAAGGGTAGGAGCAAACCCTCTGTTGGTATGGTACACCTACACTCAAGGCGGGTGAGAATTTATGAAGGGAGGGGGTGAGCACTCTCCTAAATTAATGAACCCCTGCTATATAGCAGGAAGCTTTCGAGATAGAAAATTTCAGTGGTTACAGAACTTTCGTGGTTTTCAAAGGCTATCAGTGCTCTCCAAGACTTTGGCGGGCTGGAACCACACATGTGGCACACAACAATACGGCAGAACTGTGAAATAATTTATCGGATTGCATTTATCCCTTTAAAGCTCCCTGCTGAGTATAACTGACTTGAGAGTTGCCAGTGTAGAAGATGTAGTCGTAGCGCTCTCTGAGAACAGCCTTTGACACAGAGACTCCACCTGTGACCACCGGGTAACACTCCTGAGTTGGGAAGAGGAAAAATATGAGGGAGGGTGGGAGGGAGGAGGGAGGGAGGGAGGAGGGAGGAGGGAGGGAGGGAAGAGGGAGGGAGGGAGGGAGGGAAGCGGGAGGGAGGGGGGAAAGGGTTACATTGTCAAGGTAGCGAGGGATCAGCTCAGCCAAAAGATTGGAGCAGGTAACGGCACACTCTGATGGCTTGAGCACACACGCATTTCCTGCAAGAAACATACGTACATACAGTATTCGGAGGTGACCGTCACTAGATACAGTGACTATCAGATGTTCTATTGACATGAAGATGATGATCAGCATGGTTGCCTGGTGTGCCACTCTTAAACTCAATCTGGACTCTATAATGGGGTCGGTTACTCAGTAGCTTTAAGCTATAGTTCCTCATAATTATATTGTAATGGTGAATGCATGAGCATAATGCTGGATAACGTGCGTCATTCCTATTATATATACTAAGTACTACCGTACTTAGTGATCTCACCAGCAGCAATGGCTCCAACTAGAGGCAGGAGGGACAGCTGAATGGGGTAGTTCCACGGAGCAATGATCAGAGCCACTCCATAGGGCTCTGCAACCGTGTACACCTGCAAACATACAGAAAAACAGAGAAACACAACCACCTCTCAGTGCCACCAACCAAATTCTGTCTGCTCTCTACAGTAACCAGTGCTACCAACCACCAATCATTCTCTAGCACGTGCATTATACGTATGGATTCTCTACTCCCTACTGCCAACCATACCTACTGTATTTTACATATGTAGTCAATCTGAATAGTTATACAAGCTTCTATGGACACACAGAGTGGGAATGGAGCAAAGGCTAACATGATAGACGCCTTGAGTGGTTTTGTAAAAGCTATACATAGCAACAGAACTCTCCTGTACTAGTATACAGCAGTCATGTACGTATGTAATAACTGATGCTGTCACACTGACAATAGCGTCGACACATAGAGCACTTAAATTTGCCGCTCAAAATCCTTTTAAAACCACTATTTGTTTGGTTCGTAGAAAACAACCTACACAAAAGACAAGTATTGTGAACGTGGTGCCCAGAGTAAGGCACCCTAAACCTTTTCTCCAAAAACTCTCTACGTACCTTGTGCCCAATGTTGGCCAGTCCTCTAGGTCTGTGATTTGGGGCCATCCACTCCAGGAGGTTGTCCAGCATGTACACAATGTCCTTTGTGATGAAATCAATCTCCATTAACACCGCCTCCGTCTCACACTACAGTAAAAAATGGTCAGTATACAAGAAAACTAGACAGATTTCGGATTACTAAGACAGAAATACAGTAGAGAAAATAAAACACGACTGTAAGGATATACAAGGCTTACTCCGGCAGGCCTACAATACAGGCCTTACAAGCTCAATTCATAGATAGCTGCAATGTTGTTACAGGTTCTGGGCGCTTAGCTGCATTATTTTGAGCTCGGATATACTTGACATCTAAACAAGCTATATAGGTTGGCTGGCTCTATCACCTTGTGCAAGTCCTTGTGAAGAGCCTGCAATAGTCGCTCCATGTTATCGTCGATGAGTCGCTTCAGATTCATCAGCTGCTGCTCCCGGTACCTGACGGGGAGGGTCCTGTGGCTCTGGAAGCCTCGTCTCGCCCGAGACACCAGCTACGTATACGGCCGGCAGGATAGAGGTAAAGGTTGGTGAGTTGGTGTGTTAGTAGAAAGAAACTCACGCCTGGGATGATCGGCTTCGTCGGTGCTCACAATCTTTGCATTTGGGTTTTCTCCTGCCATAATCTCGCATTCGTTCGCTGTCCTTCTCGATCCCCTTAATTTGGAGGGCCACCACGCACGCCCCCCCCCCCCTCAAATTACCCACGCACGTGACACTTCGCAGGCGCATGCGCACACATCGCCCGGAAAAGGAGTGTGTGTGTGATGCTATATTACTATATAGAAGAATGTTGAACATTGTTGGCGAGCGGGAGCGACCCAACTTGGGGTTTGTCCGCGATGTTCGGGCTGCATAACGTAGCGCACAGCTTTCCTTTCGTGAAGCAAGACAGAGCTACCTGTCGCCGTTTACATGCGTACTGTATATTGGCAGAACGGTCCTTACCTTAGGCTTTCAGTTCGTCTGTCGTGGTCCACCAGGCAGCTGGCATGGCAGTAGGCTAGGCAGCAATCGATCGGGCTGCCCGACAACGCGGCGTGTGTTAGCTGGTCCACCAGGCAGCTCAGTGGCATGCAGCAGTATGTGCACGAGCAATCCTAGCGTATTTGCACGTTGCAGCTTGGAACCATGAATATTGGGAAGAGGTACAGCCTCGGTCAGTCACCGAAGGTTGCAGCGCATGCCGTCGAATGGAGGAGAGTTCTCTAGCTGGCTATATATATAGACCGATCGGCGCATATCGCGAGAGGCACCGTGTGTGAAAATGTGTAAACATTTGGAAATAGTTTCGGATAAAAAGAAGCGCGTTCAAAGACGCGCATGCGCACTTACACGACGTACGACGACGGTCCGGTCGTAGATCGATTATAGAAAATTCCGCTCGAACGAACGACTAGGTTGGCTCGCTCCCGCTCGCCAATAACAAAAGCCAAATTCTCACAGTCTCATGGTTGACACTTTAGCTACCATTACTTCCGTACTAAAGTTCTTTGGTTCGCCACCGAGTACATAGAGGACATCTCCAGAGAAACTGAAGGCAAAGCACTGGTTACGTGCAATGGCCAAATTGGACACGCGTCTCCATGACTCTGAGTGAGGTTCGTACACGAGGACATCGCTCATCGCTTCGCCCATGTCTCCCTTCCCTCCCACAGCCATCAGCACCTCTCCCTGGGACACGAGGGTGCATTTGTAGTAGGGTAGCTTTCCAGCCTCTGTCCACACTTGCTGGTACCTACTCCTGGGGCTATGGAGGAGATCGGCGATGGAGCACGTGAGGACCGACTTTGATTTCACGTCGGGAGCCACGTACCCGCCGGCAAGGTAGAGCTGGTTATCACACACCAATGCAGAGGCCATGTAGAAAGGCTGGGGGAGACGAGGAGCAGTAGCCCACTGCTTGTTGTAGAGAGTCAGCACCTCCACGATGTCTAGTTGGACGCCGTTGTAGCCCCCAGTCACCACCAGGACGTTCTGGGCGCTTACCACGGAGGCCTCGATCCGTGCAGTCGGCATAGCGGGGTAGCTCTCCACCCACCTCCTATCCTGGTTGAGTGTCAGTAGTTTGTTGGAGTAGGCCGTTCCGTTCCACCCACCAACGCTGGTGACGAACCCCCCATCGAAAACGGCCAATCCGAAGCTGAAGTGGTTGTGATCGGGTAGCACGTTCCACCGGTCAACTCCCAAGGTTATCTGGTAGACCTTGTTCGAGCCTTCTGACGTTATGAACGCAGTTTTCTTGTACACAGCCATAGACCCCCGTTTCAGTGAGTAAGGTGATGGGATTTTTCTCTCCAGTCGTAAGGCAATGTGAGCGTTACGAGGAGTTGGTACGGGCTTTTCTACAGGTAAACCGGGTTTTTGAAAACTTAGTGTAGATGGAGGGTGAGTAGAAATCCTTTGCCGCAGGTCAAGATTTTCTTGATTCTTTGCCTGAAGTTCCTCTCGACATTTGTACAGTTCTCGGTCCTTAGCTTCAATCTGCGAGCGCAGCCTCATCTCGGTGTGTTGAACTTCCACAAACTTCTGCTGAATCTTTCTCAATTCTGCGTCCTTCGCCTCGACCACTGCTTTCAGTATTTTCTCCCTCTCCAAGCACGAACCCACCTCCTGCAACTGTCTCTCTTTCTCCTTGAGCGCTCCCTGCAGCCGCTGAACGTCCATCTGCGCGTCCTGTAGCGCCTTTCTCTGAGCCGTCTCGTACCCCAGCTGCTGTAGGCTCAGTTTCTGCTGCTGCTTCATCTCCCTCTGCTTCAGATCTTGGACCTGGAGTCTCAGGGAAGTGAGCCTCGCTCTGCTCACCCCGCTGCCTTTTGCGCTCGTCTCTACCTCGTCGCTCCAGAGCTTGACACTCTCCTTGTACTGCTCCGACTGCTTCATTTCCCCGAGAGTCACGTTCAGCTCCTGGGCAGTCGGGCGGGATTTTTCTGCGTCCCTGAGGCACTCGAGGGCCAGGGTTTTCAGGGGGTTACCGTCATTGATCAGGCTGAGGTGATTGCTGCGTCTCTCTACTTCAGGAACCGCGACCTGGACCGTTTTGCAGCTTAACTTGGGGTCGTGAGACATGTCGACCTTCTCGAATCGGGCTGTGGGGTCTGGGAATTCTCGAGTGAGAATTTGAACCACCAGTACACCCAGGGAAAATATGTCGAGATTCTTGGTGTAGGTGGGCTCTTCACTCAGGGCCTCGGGAGACATGTACAGCATGTTCCCGGGGCACTGGGTGAGGGGTGTCATGCGGGGGTCTACGCTGGCAAGTTTGGACATCCCGAAATCGGTTACCTTGGCCCGGGAGCCGGCTATCATGAGCACGTTGTTGCTGGTGAGGTCCCTGTGGATCACCTCGTTCGCGTGGAGGTAGACCAGGGCCAGCGCCACGTCGTGGGATATGTTCACCTGCAAGTGGAACGATAGCGAGTTCGGGGATCGCTCCAGGAACTTCGTGAGGCACTCGTCGCAGAGTTCCATGAGCAGGACGGGGAGCTTCGACACCGGGTCGTGGTAGGTGGTCAAGTAGAGGACGACATTGGGGTGCCTGACGCGGCTCAGCAGGCGGCACTCTGCGTCGAACTTTTGCATGAATCTGGTGGAGCCCGGATCTCGCCGGTCGAAGAGCGTGGAGTGAATCACTTTGGCGGCGCATGGAAGGCCGTCGCACGTGGCCCTGCAGACCTGGCCATAGGATCCCGCTCCCAGTACCTCCGACTGGAGCAGCTTGATATCTCGGAAAGCGAAACTCTCCGGCTGCTGAACGGGGGGGGGAGCTCTGTCCATAACTGTACAACTATGCGAGTCTCACTGCATGCATTTGTGGTTTTGAGCTAAACCTAAAAGGGGGCGCATCCTGACAATCAGGATATTACGTATATGTGAGGGGGCATGGGAAACACTCCAGGGTCCCTTTTCCCATGCCCCCTCACATATATACAGACATGTATGTAGATGTCAAATAAGGAATAAGGCACACACTTCTGCACACTGACTACCGAACATAGAGGCCTAGAGCGAGGACTTTGGTTTCTTTCATGAATGAGGATCAAAACTATAACAAGTAAATTAAAAATCCTGCGAATTGGAAAAAGAGGCATATAGGGATCGTACAAAAAGAAAGGGAGACAAGATAGGGATGGGATACATGAAGCATGGTTAATGAACACATTTGAGCACGCTGACACCCCCAACCCCATCACACAACCCCTACATTGTTGCCTGGTGTGCTACTCTTATAAGGGCTAAAGGTTACTAAAAGCAAGCATACTTTCACCATGTCCCTGTTGTTATTTCTACTTTTATACTGCCACATTCCCGCTTATTAAACTCCGCTTGGACTCTATAATGGTGTTTGTTACTCAGTAGCATGACTTTTTTGGATTATAAGTTCTGAGTATTGTAATGTGAATGTTTAGTATTTCACCTAGGCAACAATATAGGGATTTGCTCAAATGTGTTCATTAACCATGCTTCATGTATCCCATCCCTATCTTGTCTCCCTTTCTTTTTATACGATCCCTATATGCCTCTTTTTCAAATTTGCAGGATTTTTAATTTACTTGTCTCAACTCATTTTTATATACTACAACGTATTATCTCTGTGAAAGGGGGCAAGCCCCCTATAAAAATTAATAATAGAGAAAAAGGCCTGTTGTCGTCATGAAAATGATGTAATACGTATGGGTACCAAGTTTCATCTCCATGTGTGCTGCCGTTAGCAAGTTTGAGAAGTGAAGAAAGAAAAGTGCCTGAGGCTATTTCTTGTTGTGGTTATTGTCATGGAAACGATGTAATACACATGAGCACCAAGTTTCACCTCCATGCGTGCTACAGTTAGCGAGTTTGAGGAGTGAAGAAGTAATTTTAAACAAAAGTGCCTGAGGCCACAGCCTTCTCAAATATCTTCTGAGCATACGCTTTGAAACTAGGGTAGTATTGAGTGTGGGATAGAAGGCGACTGATGGTGGCCAGGTTGCCAGCCTAGAGGTGGAATAAGAACAGGAAGAGAAGAAAAGGGGCAGAGAGGAAGGAAGAGAGAATAACATTGAAAAATGAGAGGTGCATGTGATTAAGTGCCAAATATTCAGGGCACTTGATTTATGAGGACTGGTAGCTGGTGACAATAACAGACTGCCACTGAGCACGATACATTTTTGCAGAGCGTGTACAACATGCACATACAGTGAGACCCACAAGGCTCTCCCAGACGGTGTATCTGGTCTCAGTAGAGTAGGAGGCAAACAGAGCCAGTACGTCAACTGTACTACCAACTCCCGACCGAGCCTGCAGCAACACAGAGAGAAAGGAGGGTAGAACATACAACGTCGAATAAAGACCTGTATATACGATACTCAAAGCACGACAGGCGTGTACTTGGTATACCACCTTGTACCTGCATCAGTAAGGTAGAGAAGGGCACTTACTGAACATGAATATTGCCAATAGTAGAGGATTCACAATGTGCTATGTACAAGTACCGACCATGGCAAAGGCGTCATTCTGCAGTCCGAGACGGTCTCGGGGGGAGAGGGTGTGGCTAGTGAGGGCAGGGGTCAGACTCTGAAACAGCTCTGAGGAGTAGGACACTCGGTAGAAACCTACCCTCTCTGGATTCACCTGCACACACACACACACACACACATCAAGAGCTTGCCTATCAGCATTTATTCAGAGGCGTCCTGCTAGGCGTCCCTTATTTTTATGTTTGTACAGAGAGGTGTCCTTTATTCACCAGCACCCAGTCACCCTCCCCCACTCCCTCCAGTGTCACGGTAGTTGACTGCTCTGTCAGCACCAGTGACGCAGCTTGGGGATTCCCCTTGGTTGCTATGACGATGGGCACCTTCCATAGCATGGACTCAAATCCTATCAGACACACACAACTAGTTGAGGTCTGGTCAAACTGGTTTATCAGGTTTTCCTGACCTGTTATGTTCCCGTCTCCACAGAACTTTCTCTGAGACAGAGTGAGGACTCTATTGCCACCTTCCTGAGAGGAGAGAGAGAGAGAGAGAGTCAGGGGGAAAGTCAACAGGCTCGGGGCTTGAGGAGACAGCAAAATTGGCCTAGAAAAAGTGCATTATTGAAGATAACAGTCGCAACATGCAGAACTAAAAGGACCACAGAAGGAGAAGTGGGAAACTAACTAGATACCCAGGTTATAATACTTTCACATTAGAGGAGAAATCACCATTTTCAGGGAGGGCAAATTGCCCACCTCCCCCAGAGATACATACTTAGTGCATAGGAGGCACAAGCAGTTTATCTAACACACAGATAGCTACATAACGCTTGTGACTGTAGTATTGTTCGTAACTCCTCTTTTGTGGTTATTGGCATTTACTATTAACTAAAGCATTCAGGCCAGACATTGCACTGGACTGCTTTCAGGTCTAGAGTTTAATGCGAGAGACTAAAAAACAGTCAGCAAAGACTAAGAAGTCTAAATGTTGTACATCGAAGATAAAACCTTGCCAGGCTGGGCATGCCAAATACAGTACTCTGCTACAACTAGCGAAAGACATTAGAAACCAGTTTGAAGCAGACCAAGACACTCCGAATTAAAATCCTAACCAGTTGAGGCATTCTTGTAGGCAAAGGTGGTGAGGTAAGTGTACAGACCCTTTTGGAAGCTCTGTGGAAATGGCATCAAATATCTCCTCCACCTCAGACGGTGGCCCAACCGGCACCTATGTAGGTATGTACATACACAAAAGTGGACAATTAGAAAGACCATGATGTAAATTTCATGAATCTGAAATCTGACCAAACAGATATTAGCATTCCATCAAATGTGGAACAGTGCCCAGTATTTGCACGCATCATGGAGGAAAACATTTTCGCATAAATTTACATACTGTGAAATTGTTGTCTTGCAGTTTATATCCTGAAAAAATAATCAACAGTAGTCTCTCTCTGGGAGTAGGAGGAGGGAGAGGGGGAGAGAGGGAGAGGGGGAGGGGGAAAGGGAAGGAGGAAAGGAGAGGGCGAGAAGGAGAAATGAAGAAAAGACGATACAAGGACGAGAAGGAAAGAGAAGGAGAGAGGGAAGAAAGGAGGAGTAACCAGGAGAAAAGGAGAGGGTGAGGAGGGGAAGGAGGGGAAGGGAGGAAGAGAGAATAGGGAGAGGGAGAAGAGGATCTGACAAAGCATGCAGCGGAACTCACCTGTAAGTCACCAGTCCCCAATTCTCCATAGCTCCAGCTGCAAAATCCTTCATAATTAAACCGAAGCAACATTCATCAATACATATCATGTATGTACGAGTGTGTTTCCTCCATGAACTCAGATTCCCCCAAAATGAAGGCCAGGAGGTAGGAAGACATGATGGGGGTACGTGCAAATGTGACCTCCATCTCCACACACTCCACCTCGTTCTATATAGTCAGACACAAGGAACAGGGTGCTATGCGTGTAGTACACTACAGTACACCAGTGCATTTTCCTAGAAATCAGTTTCAGGGGGGAACAGTTCTTTGATAATGAAAAGCACTAAAGTGAAAACCCTCGGCGAACTGCGCATGCGCGGTATCGCTAATTGATGGGCTGGGCTATTAGTATGCGTTTACTCGTGGTCTCCCGTTAGTAGTTCGCAGAGAGTCTGACACGGGTTAGCTACAGTAGTAGATAGCATGCGGGAGTCGACACATGTCCTTCGTTGTGACTTCTTGTGCCTTCAAGATACACAGAGTAAGCGGACCCGGTCGAGGTAAGCCTGTGCTACTTTGCATATTGGCTTGTTCACTTGGTTTTCACGCCATAACTCTCGAACGCAGTACTTCTACGAAAATCGCTATTTTAAAAAATCAAGCCAGTGTAAAAATGAACCTGTTGGTGTCGCTATTTTGTTGTCTTGTTGCGCGTGGTGGCAGAAAACATGGTAACAGACACATACACAGACACAGACACACAAACCAAGTATACCGTAACACTCGCTGCGCATGCGCGGCGAGGGTTAATAAAAAGTTAACCCAGATGACACTTGGCTCACACAAATAACATACAAAAGCAGCACTAGCGCTCAGAGCTCAGGAATAGACTTAGATGCATTTTGCTACATCATAAAACCAAAACACATTTCATGCGCATCTCTATTCTAAATGAAAAGCACTGAAGTGCAAACCCTCGGCGAACTGCGCATGCGCGATACTGCTAATTGATAGGCTGGGCTATTTGTATGCGTTTACTCGTGGTCTCCCACTAGTAGCTTGCAGAGAGTCTGACACGGACTAGCTACAGTAGTAGATAGCATGCGGGAGTCGATACATGCCATTCGTTGTGACTTCCTGAGCCCCCAAGGTACACAGAGCGAGCGGATCAGGTCGCGGTAAGCCCAGTTCATTGTGCATGTTGGCTTTTTCGCTTGTTTTCACGGCATATCTCTCGATCGCAGTCGTTTCACGAAAATCGCCCTTTTAGTTTCAGGCTCGCGTAATTCTGAAGCCGCTGGTATCGCTAATAGGCCGCCTCATAGCCTATAGTGCCAGAATAAGCGTCGACACACAGACACACAGACAGACAGACAGTACCCAATACCCAAATGAGGACAAGTACCAGCAATCACCTACCACTACTGAAGACATCACGTGACCTCCACAGGTACTGGCTGTGCACTGTACCATCTACCACTGGAGCTGTCCAACACCTCTACTTCACTCTTATATGGAAACCCACATGCTACTATGACCAAGTATACCGTAAGCAGAGCCCACCCTATTAGCCCTCCATGGACACTTGCTATTGGTAGGAGGAGAGGGGTATGTACAGGAGATCCATCGCTATGACCAAGAGACTAGACAATGGAGGGTGTGTGGACAATTGCCAGTTGGAATGGAGGCTCCATGCTATACTGAACTACCATCTGGTGACCTGATGGTTGCTGGAGGATGGACTAGAGATACTAAGGCAGCCTCCAAGAGAATGTGGATAGCTAAGATTTAGAGATCTTTGACATAATATTATGTATACTTGATTTTACTAGACAAAATTTCTCATTTGTTAGACATTGACACCCATTGGTGTTGACACGAAATGCGCATGCGCTACTACAGGGCCCGAGGCTTCCTATATACATCACATGGTTCCCATGACTAGTTCGGAGTGTGCAAAAAACAGAAAATGGCAAAAAAATATGTGCAAAGGGCCTGGGGAGTAAACACTATCCAATAATGGTTCCTCGATAGTATTCCTCCTTCTACTTGGTGTTCCTCCTCATCCTACAGAGGCAACTACGTGGACTAGCTTTCTCACTCCAAAACCTCCCAGAGGGTCTGGTGAATAAGAGTTCAACAGGGGAGCCCAATATGTATATACACCAGTTAGGTCTAGCAAGCTGCCAACCACACCAGGGCTTTAAGTGGGGATGGTGCATCAACTAAACTAGTCATTGTGGTCACACTTCAGCAACCACAAGCCATTCAACCTTGAGTCCAAGACAATTGACAATTGACTTCAGTACTACTATTACTATCTACTACTAGAAAACCACACTGTCCCCATCTCTAGGGTCTGGAGGAAATGCTAACCTACCACATAATGTATATACTCTCACACATTAAGATTGTCTAGATTCTTCGTGAGAACTTTTACAGATAGTTCTCAAGCGGACTGTTCTCCCTCTGAAACTATGGCAGGACGACAATGCCAGCCAACCATGTGGGGCAGGACTCACCGAGATCTCCCTGTACACACTTGGCCGACTGTATCTCGATCTCCGCACAGTTCATCACAACAACACTAGTGGCCTTGCAAACCTGCATATCACAGAACCCAAGTTTAGTTACGTGTTCTCGTCATAAGAACGCCGGTTTGAATGGCAGTGTTCTGTAAGACTCACACAGAAAGCTGGTGAAATTTCACATATACTAACACTTGGAGTGGGACTCTGGAGCTGACAAGTGGGCAAATGGAGCTGAGAAATCATATCCCTGCAAGAACCCATTATTCTGTCACACACCGAAAAGTGAGTGCTCCTCAATTCAAATATTGGGTGTAGCTGTGATTATCCACAGTTAGAGTACGGGCCCTCGAACGAGGATTTCAGCGGACGTGGATTATAACTGCACATCATACCTGGACAGTAATCTCCAGCTGCCCTGGAAGGTGAGGCCGTAAGTCTGGCGTCAGCCCAGCTTGTAGTTGACAGGGCACGTCGCACTGGCAGCCGCTCGAACGGCTTCTTCTTTTCTCTTCCTGCTGTTGTTGAGCCATCCCTGTGTGTGTCTTCAGTAAAGTAGCAGGTAGGTGATCTCGGATGCACGCGCTAACCTTTGACCCACAATAATTGTGCGTATATAGAGTAAGCCACCGATAATCGGACGGCATGTATCTCGGACGCATTTGTGAAGTATGTGCAGGACTAGATTGGCTACGGTGGATACCAAGCTGGTATTGTCTCTGGTCAGAAACTGTTGTATAAAAATATTCGACTCTTGATCCGAGCTGGTCCGCGGGAATGGACGTTGCCGTAAAGTTACGATTCGGGCACAGGCAAGTTCGGACACGCCATCAAGGTAGGACAGTCTCCCAAAAGGCGTAACAGTATGAATGAGTCTCCAGCGACTGTATGCGCGATTGATAGCTGTACCTTTGGCTATGCAGCGACCCACAAATGGCCCTTTTTGTCTTCGCTATTTTTGCTCACGAAAGTGCAAATAGACGGGGTCCGCGTAAGCCGCGT